CGTCTGTACTTGAATTTATGTTCTTTTTCTCAATATATTCCCTTCTCCCATTGCTTTGCAGTTACGGAAACTAAGCTGGCTAACTTAGAGAGAAAGCTGAGGAGCATGGAGGCAGAACTGGATCTCATCAAAAAATGTAAGCCTCTTCCTGCCCCACTGGGTTCCCGCTCTCCCCTTGTCCTTGAGCGCTCTGGGTTTTCAGGAGGTGCAAGAGAACTAACAATTGTGAACACGGATTATATACCAGGGCCTGTGCTAGGTTGGCATTTTCTCATAAAATGGTTTCATTCTGTCCTCTCATCACTGCTGTTTGTGAGCATTACACTTATTTAATTTACAAGTGAGAGAAAACAGGTCCGGGATTTGTAGACAATTCATTCACCATCACCCAGGTGGGAAGCAGCAAAGGAAAGTTTGCATGGAGGTCTGCTGCCTCCACATCCTTGCTCCTTCCTCAGCACCGCTGTTCTCAGATGGCTGTCCCTGTCCCTTTCTGTCCTGGCATTCACGCCTGGCAACAGGGTCCATGCCTGTTTCCCTGTCCACCTGCACAGGGGCCATTTGGGCGGGGGACTGTCTCCAGGACAGGCTCCCCCAGGAGAGGCTGCACCGTCAGCCAGGACCTTCCCTATGCTGAGGAGCTCCTCCTCACTAGGACCTGACCTGAGGGGCTTGCACATGGGCTCCTTTTCAGAGTCCTCACTCCCAGACAATGGCGTGGTCACCTACTGGCCTGGGCTCCAGGCCAAGTCAATCACACCCATTCTTTGTGATTTCAGTGGAAACCTTCTCCTTGGGCAAGAAATATGGAAAGAAGCTCCATGTGACTAATGGTGAAAAGATGCCTTTTTGCAAACCTTCTCCTTGGGCAAGAAATCTGGAAAGAAGCTCCATGTGACTAATGGTGAAAAGATGCCTTTTTTCAAAGGGAAGGCTCTGAGTGCTGAGCTCCAGGCCACCGTGGCCACCCCCAAGAAAAGCGAGGAGAACAAAGCCATCATGGACTTGGGCAAGGACCATGCCTTCTGGGCATCACAGATGAAGCGACCGAAGGCCAGTTTGTGTATGTGACAGGAGGGAGGCTGACCTATAGCAACTGGAAGAAGGATGAGCCTAATGACTATGGCTCAGGGGGGACTGTGTGTGCCTTCAAGAGGATGGGCTCTGGAATAACATCTCCTGCTCTTCCTAATCGTGGCTGTCTGTGAATTCCCAGCTTGAAGAAGGGGTTCTTGCCCTAACCGGTTTGGCTCAATGGATAGAGCATCAGTCTGCAGACTGAAGGGTTCCAGGTTCGATTTGGGTCAAGGGGATGTGCCTTCGTTGAGGGCATATCCCCAGTGAAGGGTGTGTGGGAGGCACCTGATCGATGTTTCTCTTTCATCGATGTTTCTAGCTCTCTGTCCCTCTCCCTCCCTCTCTGTAAAAACAATAAAATATATTTAAAAAAAGAAAAGAAAAAAAAATGGTTCCCTCAAACCCTCCTTGACTCTGGTGAGTTGTCTGCTGCCCTAAAAGAAAATTCAGTGATGTTTTTCTCTTGCCCAGTGTTGACTCATTCTTTGGTGGGGATGGGAGGAAAATGAAGGGATGGATTTGATTATGGGATTAGGGAGTGAAAAGAGGCTGACATGAGGGTTTCTGTTCCAGTTCTTGGCAGAGGACACCCTCTGTCTTGCCTAAGAGCATAGCACTGCATCACAGTCAAACCATGGAAAGGGTCCAGTTTAGCCCTGTCCTTTCTCAGCAAGGACACTGCGGCCCGTCACAGGGACCCATGCAGGGCCACACCTGTGTCAGTCAGCAGCGGATCACAGCCTCCAAGAGATCCAATTCCTTCTGTTCAAGTGCTGCCACCACTTGATGCCCTTGATCCCTCCCCATGGCTAGCCCAGTCCTATCTGTGACATGAATATGTCTTTAGTTGCTCATGTGCTGCCCCAGAAAACCCTCACTGACTGTAACACCTCGCCATGTCCAATGTCCATGTTAGAAGTCCAAACCTGTAGAGAATGTTTGTGAAAGTTTATCTGAACTGAGCAGAGGATACACCTGGAAGCCAGACAACAGCCCGAGAAAATGCTTCTCAGAATGAGAGTTTGTAGCTTCCTTTGTGCACTTGGTATTGAGGAGGGAACTAAGGCAGAAAACTGAAGGTGGAGGAAAGCCAGGCAGGAAATGGATTTGAGGGTAGGT